TAGTTATTAAATAATAGCTTCACTTCATCATTAATGATTTAACTACATGTATGCCAAAGGGAGAAGATGACCCGCCCTCTCCTCTTATCGAATTTTAACATCGTGTCTTAAAGTTACAGTTTGATATACAAATTTGTTTTTAAAGTTTTATCACATATTTGTTATTACTAATTCACATGTAAATAACTTAATTAAATCAACCTGTCCATAATATCATGTACAATGTATTGGACGTTAAATCTGTAATAAACAACAACATCATCATCATTGTGGACCACTTTAAGGAGACACCAGTCATGGATGTGACAACTGAAGAGAAGTTTAACCAAGGGTTGTTTGATAAATATGAAGTCTTGAAGAAGGTCCTTATCCCCAAGAACTAGTATTACTCCATCATAAAAATTAATAGCAATGGAATACGAATTTTCTTAACTTGTCGGTAAGCAAGACGAGACTCATGTTTTCATTTTTATAATTCCGATAGGATCGTTATACCGCTGCACACATTTTATTCTGCAGTTTTCTCCCGACATAATTTCTATGCCGTTGTTTTTTTTAAATACTACAGTTGTTTGGATTCGATGAGCTATACACCTTAATTATCTAATTGACTTTATTTTTGAAGATCAAATTAATCTCATTTATATACTGCGCTGCGTGTGACTGTAATGTTCTAGAACGTTCTTGTGACACGTGGCGTGGGTGCTCAAATGAAGAATGGCTAAACATCGAAGGATTTGTTATGTGCAACTTTTCAGGGCCCTGTTTCACGAAATTTTAACAAAAGATAAAATCCAAATTTTAGTAGATACTTCAATTTTGAATGGCGAAGCACTAAAATCAATCTAATATTATCCAATCAAATTACTAAAATTTGGATTTTATCTTAGTTAAAATTTCGTGAAACAGGCCCCAGAAATCTCTTAATACAAGAACAATCTCAAGTGCAACAGTTGGTGCCATTCCTGTGCATGTGAACTTCTGTAACTTTGTACCCTTTACATTACCTATAAATGGAATATGTTTATAGAATAAACTTATGTTTTACATTACATTACCGGTATATGGAATAAACTTATTTTTACCTAAAGAATCCTGTGTATATCATGTTCGTTTTTTTTTTAAAACACTAGGCATTTGGCCAAATGCCTGACCAATTCTTTTAGTCTTTTAGTTACATGACTAGACAATTCAGGCATCTGAACAAATGCCTGATCACATTATGCATGCATTTAACCAAATGACCAGGCTTTTGGCCAAATGGCTGATTTGACAGATTCACTGTAATAATGTGGGCTTTTAGACCCATTTTCGTTTATGTTAAGGTTCCAAAGTATAGTGTCATACGCCCTTTAATGGATTGTGGTTTGTGTTTATAATCAAACGTTCGGATTGGTATTACTTTCTGTGGCTGCTGCAACTGGTGATGATGGATGAAGATGGATTAAACGGCACAGTCTAAGTAAATAACATATTTTGTTTTTGCAATATATCTTTTCCTGTCGGATTATTTTTGAACTGCAAGTCTGATGCTAATGGTCTATTTTTAACTGCACACGTCAGAAAGCATATTAACTAACAAGAATCGAAACAATAAGTTGTACAAGACACGATCAGCTAACTTCAATTATCTGCTTGGATTTAGTTAGAAGAGAAAATATCCTGGCATTTGATCCCTTCTTAATCAATTAATATCTGCTCTTATCTAGAAAGCCTATCTAGTCAAATATAATAACGTAATTTAAAATTAGACATCTATTTGACAAAATATCCCATAATCTCCATATTGATTATAGAAAATCGACATTGTCTTCATCAATAGATCGGCTAAAGAGTTTGTTGTCAGGAAAACAGACGTGTCATTAGGCCAATTTGATATCCCGACCGTCATGCAAGCAAGTCAACCGATACGACTTAGGCTTTCAGATTAAATGGACATATGTTTGTTCAAGGGGAATCCATACCAATGAAAAATTAATAATCGACAGTTAAGAAGACAGAAAATATAACTGTGACTGCATGAAATTATTGTTTGATTATATATGGCAAAAAAGACACGGGCGTTTAAAAAAAAACCCGCCTTGAAATGTCGACCGATTTGCTCTTATACAATTTCACAGTTAGTATAGCATTACATGTAGATTTCCAAAATATATTAGTACATTCATATGTCCAAATATGTACATACGTATACTTTGGAGATTTACCTATAGGTGTTTAATAAGCATTAATGCGGATTGGGTTAATCCTAATCCGTTCTGTTTGTGTGCTAAAGAGAAATGGTGAGCAGTGCATGATAACCCTTTTCGAAACTCTGGGCACCCCTTTTCAAATCTGATTTTATCCCACTTACTATATCCCCGGTGGCATGCAGAGGTTTGGCGATACCCGGGGCCAACTCCTTGGGTATAATATGTCCTTCAGAGTAAAATATATGGCCTGGTATATTCACAAAAGATAGTTTAAATATGAAAAACAGATGACATAAAGATTTTAGTCAAATTATACAGCTTGCACAAGAAAAGATAAGGAAAGACCTGCAATAGGCAAATTTTGCTCTTGTATAATGTATCTTTAACGATAATTTCAAACAACGCAACATTAATTTCACTCTTGGATTGGATGCCCCCCTCCCCTGTCAACTCACCCAAAATGTTTATTGCATCTTGACTCCCGGAGAGTAGGCTACTGACTAAGCATTATTTATTAAAAACATAATACCTGTACCGCCAACAGAATAGGCCATTGGTGTATTTCTATTCGGACAAAAAAAAATCGTTTGTACTCAGTAGTCACCATGAGCAATTTAAATTTTATTTATAATATATGCCATGATTGGTTATAGATTATAGCTTTAATTAGCGTTCACTTGGTTTAAACAAGACAATGTTCTTCCATTAAAACCAACAGTTCGATATTAAACTAGTTCTTCTATATCTTATAATTACACCGATGAATCCACTATACTACCTTGACTTATTAATCGAAAATTTCTTTTTTGTTTCTACTCTAAACGCGGTCCATTGTTTTGTATTTACAACAGAACATGACTCCACAAACATAATAGAAAAATATTCGTTCCAGTCGATAATTCATTTATGAAAACGTTATCTGAAAAAATCAGCGGGGTGCCAAAGAGATGTTCGATCGTAGTGAGTCTTGTGTTAGAAGCTGACTAACAAGCTTGAGTCAAAATATCAAAAGGTTGGCGTCAATCTATATAATTGTAAATAATTAATCACTCGTCAAACTTTAACAGTTGATAATAAAAAGAGAGGAGAGAACTTGAAAAATTAATTAGAATATCTAAGACAACAAAATTAGTAAGACCGTGAAGATAAAGGTTTACTTTTCACATCGTTAGCTAATATTACTTAAAGAAAACATGTTAGTTTTAAAGGGAGGGTGTGTATAACCGCATTATCGGCAACGAAAACTTCCTGGCAGCAAGGGATTATATACTATAACCTCTTGAATTAATGTATTTTAAAGGTCTCTTTGGAAACAGGTCTAAAACGACATATTCATGCAATATATAAAGTGATTAGATTCATTATTTTTTGTTCATTGAAATACGTGAACAGCCAAAATTGAACGGCAGTAGTTGCAATTGTTTAGTCGCATTCTACACGTTTTTTGTTGGGTTTTTTTTTTTGGGGGGGGGGGGGGAATATTCGTCGTTTGAGAATCGGCCATTTTTAATAACTTCCGCATTGTCGCGTACTGGGCCTGTTTCACAAAATTTTAACTAAGATAAAATCCAAATTTTAGTAATTTGATTGGATGATATAGATTGATTTTAGTGATTAGTCAATCAAAACTGAAGTACCTATACTAAAATTTGGATTTTATCTTTAGTTAAGATTTCGAGAAACAGGGCCCTGATCTTAAAAGGTTCACTGTGTCTTAAATATTTGATGTTAGAATCCCATAATTTCACAGTAAGATAACAGCATCAATATTTATTGAAATGGACCTAAATTGAATTCTAATTCGTGTTTTTAATTTTTAATATTAGCCTATGGATAATATTGATTGATTTAGAGGTTTAAGTGGTGCGTAATAGTCCAGGATATTTTAGAGCGCGACGGTACCTCTTCTGAATCAACACCTTCTCAAAGCATGTTAAGATTCACCCTCTAAAAATCATTTTATAAAAAAATATAGTTTTCTCCGATGATGAGTTTATCGATGATTTGAATATTTTATTTTATTTTATTTTATTTTATTTTATTTTTTTTAATTTTTATTTGAAATTACCTTTCATTCCGACATTTTAGAATCTAATTTTATGCAATGGCCTCTTTAACATGTCAATTTTTAGGGAAAAAATGTAAAAATCAATGGCTCTAATTAAAAGTTATTTAGTCTATATTTTATAAAATAAATAAATATGAGGTTGTATTGGTCAATCGATGACATGCTGCATTATGTCACGGCAATTTATCTAAGACAGATAAAGATTTTGTGGGATTACTTTTGATTTTGAAATTACCTTTCATTCCGACATTCGAAACTTTTTTTTTTTTTTTTTTTAAATGGAATCTGAAGCACTGGGGCATACATTATATGGGGATCTTCCCGTCGGCGCGAGGATAGCCAATAATTGAATTTCGGGATACATTTGACAATTTTTGGGATGTGAATGCTGCGTACTATGATGTTTACCTAACTATGCTACTTTCCATCTCCCAAATACTTGAAAGGCCTACCAAAAGCGAGTGATTTTCACTTGACATCATCAAAAGTACCAGTGGACAGTGCGCCTTCATATCACGTGTTTAGGTGCATTTTACAAATTGACAATGTAGGCATACTCATAAAACATATGGCCTGGTCTAATACCCCTTTCCTGGAATTTGAAATTCATTTCCATTAATGTTATAAAAATTATAAACGATGGAAGTCGATGAAAATTTTTAAAACCACCAAACAGTGTCTTGATAATACTGTCTACGACTACGAAACTAAATTTTGGTGTAGCTCTACTTACTGTTGCTAAACATAACAAACATGGCGTCCAAAGTAGAATTATTTTTTCGATAATCTTGTTGATATTTTGATTTCTCTGTGTCAGGATATACTGACCATTAATATTTCATGATCATCTATATATTTTGATGGAGCGAACTCTGAATTAACATATTTCTAGTTAAGTTAAGGTTGGTATATATCTTTGTGTAAATTTATCGGGCCGTTGTAACAACCGTTGTTGTGGTTTACTCGTCGTTGGAGTCGGACGGTTCAGGTTAGATTCAGTAGACAAGGTACCGTGTCCAATTTGGCTTGATTCTCTGTGCATAGGACTGTTTTTATATTCTTCATAAAGAATCTATTTTATAACAGCCAAGAGTTGCTTCACTTTTGTTTCATTGATGAACACATGTACTGCTCGGGGCTTTTCAACAATTTAACTCAACTCACGACAACTGTTAGTGTTATTATTTTTGAATTTCAGTTTAAATCCTTGACCCGGTGTTGCCTGAGAAAGTTCCTGGTCATTTGCAGGCACATGCTTGTCTTCAGTAGCCCAGTAACCGCAGAACAGTAGGACGTTAAACCCCATTTCATTTCATTTAAATCTTTGATTTGACGTTCAGTATATATTACATTGCAAAAATCTTAAGGCTAAGGCGCTATAATGTTGTTTTTGTAATTAAAAAGACCACTGTTTTGAAATAAAGTGAATATTATTACTATTATTATAAAGTACTGATCTCAAAGTCATAGGTGTAAGAGGCAGGGGGGTGGGAGGGGGTGGCTGGCCCCACTAACTTTTGGGCAATCTGACTTTTCGGGTGGACGGGTAAAGTGAAAACAAAAAATATTATTTCATCTAGTTGGCAAAATAAAGTGCGCGAAATCTAATAAAACACCAAAATCTTACTTTTCTTTTAATTGAATATCAAAAATTTGTACTGAATTGACTATGGATCAAAACATTTTGCCAGGAGCCACTCTACTTTGTGCGACATTTTTCGGGCATGACTGTTCTGGCCTGGCTGTAGGCTACCTACTACTGGTTAAGTTTCTAGGATATATGTTTCTGCTGGGTTGCGTGTCGACACCAAATAAAATCTAACTGAATAACTTTTTAACCTCAGTGATAATGTGACAGCTAATGAAAGCTGCTGTTCAATGCCCATTGATGATTAAATGCAAAAATGGATTATCATATCAGCAGTAACAATGGCAGTCAAGTCAAGGCTACAGTGTTTTTAAAATGAGGTTTTCTCGGCCCAAAGTGAAGTAATTTGACTTAAATTTTCAGCATATCCCCCTTACATTATCTATTTTTTAACTATTATAGTAAGAACTGCCAGCACTTTATCTAATCATCCATAATCTATCTTTAAGCACATGCCTACACAACAGAGAAAACCGCATCCACTTTGCTTGACAAAACAGCAATTATAATAATTATTATGTGTGAGCTTGCAACTTGTGGTGAATCTTGATTGACAGATTTGAAATGTAATGGACAGAAAAAGACTATTTCATAGTAGAACTACGTGGTATTTACTCCCAATCTTTAATGCTGGTACATCAATAATGGTCTGTATGTTTAATTTTGATCAATCCATTTCAGTGAATATTCATATAATTTGTAATTGTATCAATCATTATTTTATTTTCAGTTGAAATCTGACTGCTGAAAGATGGGGAAGAAAGGAAAGGGGAAAAAAGGGAAGAAGGGAAAAAAGGGAAAGAAGGGAGGAAAAAAATCCAAAGAACCACAGATGACAACTAAAGAAGCTATTTTAGCTTATCAGTAAGTTTATTTTATGGTTGTTTAAAATTAAGTGCAGGAGGACAGTACCATGCATAAACAAGGCAAGGCTGCAAACAAGACACATTATATACATAGACAATGCAATTTGCATATAATAAACATATGATCAATTCAAGTGAATAGATCTGGGGGCCAGCCATAAGTGTCCACTGCGCTCTACATTCCTGTGACTGTAGTGATACAGGCTTCGCACAAAATGAAAACAAACCAACAGGAATGGAATGCCTGAAAAAAAGAGGGCATATTTCTAAAGGTATTATTTTAGTCATGATCAGCTATGTTATTGTTAGTATATAGAGAATCTCCTACCAGTCTTTTTTGATATCAAAAAGACGAGTAGGAGATTTTATCTATCACCCAATCCCTTCTTACATGCACAAATAGATAAATATAATTCTTTGCTGTAGATTTCACTTTTACTGAACATTACGTCGTAGTGATACATCATTTTTTGACAGCAATTCAACCATTGGCATTGCAAAGTCCTTTATATTCACCCAGTGTTTCCATCAAGGTCAATTGAATAACAATAGTTCATATTTTTAATATAAAAAAAGTTACTTTTAATAAGAAATGAACTGTTCTTTGAAAATAAAAAAAAGTAGTTCCTTTTCAACTGACCAATCAAATTCATATAAAGCGATATCTCCTAAGGAGATATCGCAGTAGATTAAGAAATATATCACACAAGCGATATCTACTGTAGAATGTATTATTGGGTGATAAAGTATTTTATTAAGATATGTTTGGTAAAATATGTAAACTTCCATGTTTTTTTTATAGTGTCACAGAGCAGCAGATCATGTTTGATTTCAAGCACCCTGTAGTGTAAAGTTTTATTATTATTTACAATTTTTTTATTGCAGAATTAATATAATTGAAACTAAACTTGAAGATGTTAATTTTGAGATAAGAGGTTGGGAAGAAAAGAATAAAAGACATGTGGATAGGGTAAGAAAAATGAAATATAATGTGTTTAATCGCACTCTTATTAAACATACATTATGCAAGAGCTAAATCTGTCAATTGCAGGTCTTTCTTTAGGCCTGAAATGTTTTCTAAATTATTAATTAGACATTAATTAACTTATCCAGACCATAATCAACTCTAGATGGCATTGCTAGCCTGTGATCTTTAGTGGATTATGAGCCGATATACTGCATAACTTTCCTTCACGATTTAACGATTAAATGGATAATCAAGACTATGCTGTTTATCGTACTGACTTTAGTAATGATGATCAAGGCTAGGCGGAAATTTCAATCGCTTAGTTCTCGGTTCATAGTGGATCAATTTGAATGAAATTTTCAGCAAATTGCCTTTACATTATCTAGTTTTTAACTATTATAGTGAGAACAGCCAACTCGTTATCGAATCTCCCATAATGTATCTTTAAATCTATTAGTGTATTATTTTGGCAGAGAGAGGTACATTTTTCCATACTTTGTGTGGTGGATAACTGTAACAGGACATAGTGATACATGAATAGTTATATATATTAATGAAAAAGGAATATATTGAAAATTTCAGTTATGAATGTTTGAGGAATAGCGTAGTCTTGATCTTCATATCTACCCTTGTTACGATAATAAACAAAATCTTGATAGTCTGTTTTTAAATTAAATTATAGAATGGCAATGGTGTTTCGATCCATTTAAAATCACAACCATCTGATAGTCGAGGGAGTCCATTATGGCCTTGTCATGAGAATAAATGTCTAAATATTAATTTATATAATCCTTAAGTGGCATTTAGCAATTAGAAACATAACAAAACTATACAGTTATATGGGACAACAATCACTGGTTTATTATACACAGGCACGACGTTTCAATAAGTATTCTCTTATCGTTATCAAGCACCTTGATAATGATAAGAGAATACTTATCGAAACGTCGTGCCTGTGTATAATAAACCAGTGATTGTTGTCCCATATAACTGTATAGTTTTGTTATTAATTTATAAGCTTATAGAATTTGAGGCCAAAATAAAGACCTGCAATATTCAGATTTACCTCTTACATAATGCATCTTTAAAGTCCACACCCACAGGATTGTCTTCTGGGAGTGGGGGTGGATGGCTGAATGGTTAGCGTGTACGCGCTGTATCATAAAGTCTGTCATTGAGCCGACTGGCGTGGTTTCGAATCCCCGGTTGTACGTGACAAGGAGTAGGGTCGCCTGTCCAGCCTCGTGGGTTTTCTCCGGGTCCTCCGGTATCCTCCCACTGCTAAAGACCCCTACGCGCAAGCGGATTATTGAAATAAAATTAAACCATATGTTAGTCCCAAAATGACCTAGTTTGTGTCGAGTGGACGTTAAACCCCATTTCTCTCTCTCTCTCTCTTGTCTTCTGGGATTCTTTTTGTTTTCTTATATATCAGTTTGGCCGTTATTTTCATTTATCTTCAAAATCTCACAAAATAAATATTTATAGATTAGCTCACTTTTCATATTTATCCACTACCATTCAATATTTAACAAAATGACATTTTTGTGATTGGAAAATTTCGGTTTTATTTCTAGAATGATAAACTGAGATCCGAACAAGAATTACTGATTCAGCATTTATTGAAGCAAGCTAAAGATGTAGAAAAGGCTTATGATGCAGAAGAAATCAAAACACGAGATGATGTCATCAAAGCTATGAAGGAAAAATGGGATAGACAGAGAGAAAGAGAAAGGGAATTAACAGGTAGAATTTTTTTTTTTTGGGGGGGGGGGGGGATAAAGACAATCAAAATGATCTAGTCATAATGATAAACTAACAGTTGTCATTTTTCAATCATTTAGAATTTTTCCAAACATGATAACCATTTTTTGTTTGTATTATAAAAAATGTTGAATGCATCTATAAAAAGAAGTAAGGTCTTAATTTGTATTATTCATAAATCAGGATACAAGTCAACATATTTTTAAACCAGTGGTTGCAAGAGATGGACAGAGTGTCCACAAGCTAAAACATTATTTTTCGTACAATCAGGGGCCATAATCCATGAAGTTACGGAACCAAGATCTTTGTTATATACACCTATATTTCAAGTTTCGTTAAAATTGGATAAACTAAAGGTGAACAGACGGACAGGGGCGTCACGAAAATGTGGGCGTATAAAAAAATTTGTGATATAACATGTTAATCAATTTCATTGTAGATATCAAAAGTCAGATAGCAAGGAAAGAGACAGACATTGAAAAAATAAGAAAAGAAGTTGATAATTGGCTGAGGTATAAAAATAAAGGCCAATCTGAACATAAAAAACAGATTGAGATTCTCGAACAAGAGTTACGTGATATGCAAAACAGTTTTGATGAAATGGCAGGTATACAAAAAATATTATTTCTTTGGTTTTGTTTTATGATCTTTTGATCAAAAACTAAATGTCTCTTGTTCTTCTTAATGGATTTTCAGTCCCCGGTTGTACGTGACAAGGAGTAGGGTCCCCTGTCCAATCTCGTGGGTTTTCTCCGGGTCCTCCGGTTTCCTCCCACTGCTAAAGACACCTATGTGCAAGCGAATTATTGAAATAAAATTAAACTATATGTTAGTCCCGAAATGACCTAGTTTGTGTGGAGTGGACGTTAAACCCCATTTCTCTCTCTCTCTCTTAATGGATTTTCAGTTGGAAATCTTACATTTGTATGTTAAAAATTGGGACTCTTAAGATGTAATTATTTTCATCCATTCACTAGTAGAAGAATATAAGAGCTGCAATGTGAATATTGGGTCGGCTTATCAGTTTTACTTAATGATATACATTTATTATCCCACTCCAAATGAAGTTTAAAAAGGGAGTAATATTGAAATGGGCCAAGTTTGTACTTTTGTCATGGTTCGTTTCTGTTACAAACTCAGGAGAAATGAAATGGGGTTTAACGTTCTACTGTTCTGCTCCGACTGGGCGAATGAAGATGAGCATACACCATACAATGTGCTATGAGGGAAATGTTGCCGGACAGCAGTGCTATGGCCTACTCTTATTTCACATTCCAATTGTCAAGGCTTCTTGTACGTGCACGTCAATGTGTTTTCAGAAGCTCAGTTTTTCGTAAAGGCCCTGACAAGGGGTTGCCATGCTGAAAAATCCTGATGAACTTTCCCAGCCATCATCCGACTCGCTGAGCCAGCATGGCTCTGGGCACACTCAGGAACAACTCAAGATATCTTTATGAAACTTTGAAAACACATCAGTTTTTGTGCAGGGGTGTCGGAGGGTGGATGACCAAAGAATCTTGTTGTAATTGATAATTATTTTTTTTTGAAAATGTTTTTTTCTTTCTCAGGTCATTTAAATAAATCTTTAGAAAAAACTAAAGTGGAGATAGAGATTTATACAGATGAAACTTTAGCTAAACAAAAAGATTTGGCTTCAGATGTAAGTAGTGGTTTTATACCCAGTTAGTTCAGAATCAGGAGATGTGATTCAGGGGGAATAACTGCTCTAGTTAAATAATATCTTCTATTTTGTAGAAAGCCATGGAGAAACTGGATAAACATAGTCGACAAGAAGTTCTTGATAATGACTGGCTGAAACGGGAGGTAATGTTTTGGGTTTTTTATAAACTGTGGTTATTGGTTATTGATAGAAATATAAAATGATTTTAAAATTAAATATTATAAGATAGTATTCTGAATTGATTGAACAAATATCACTGGGTTTTTTCCCCGAAGTAGTTGTGTATGATAATTAGAGAGACTTGATTGACATGTTTGTAATATGCATGTACAGATGTTCATATTACATTTTGGTCAAACTTTAAGTGACTCAACCCATTTCCAATATACATAGAGGTTTCTATTGTTGATTGTTTGTCTTTTTGATATTTTAGTAAGTCAATAATAACATTGACTCTTAATCTTTGATTATAAAATGGTCAGCTGTGGTCCCTATTTAACAAAAAATACTTGGTAGTCTAATGAAAATGGGGGCGTTGGGTGGCCAAATGATTAATGTGGTTGAATCAGAAGGTCTGTCATTGAGTCAGTTGGCATGGTTTTGAATGATTCCCCGCTTGTACGTGACAAGGAGTAGGATCACCTGTCCAACCTCGTGGGCTTTCTCCAGGTCCTCCTACTGCCAAAGACCCCTATGCGCAAGCAAATTATTGAAAGAAAATTGAACCATATGTTAGTCCCGAAATGACTTAGTTTGTGACGAGTGGAGTGGACGTTAAAATCTCTCTCCCTCTCACTCTCTAATAAAAATGCCAGCAAAGTATTTATCATTAATTTTTTAAATAATTGTGTTAATAAAGGTAGCAATACATAGCGCTGAGATGGAAAAGATAAAGACAGATGTAGAGAAATTAGAAAAACGTAATTTAGAGATAATGAGTCAATTATTTGATTGTACAATAGATGATCTCAAAATATCAAGGTAAGTTTATCTTTTTAAATTTGAACTCACATTATCTTGACTAAAATAAAACTTTTATACTATAGTTACCTTGTATGATATAATAAGTATGATATAAAGTATGATAGTAGCCTACTATATGGACCAGGAACTAAGTATGACATCATCCCCGTCAATTTGGATTGTGACATCATATTAAAAAACGAAGTCTGTCAATCATGTGCAATTGTTCAAGGAACAAGCAAGGCAAGTTTCATGTCGATCGTACTTGAATCGGTGGAGCCTAATGCTTTTTTCGAAGAGTGTCATCCACAAGAAGATGAATAGCTCCACGAGCCCAGTGCCTGGTCCCCAAAATTATATAGAAATGTATAGAAATCCATGGTGCACACCTTGTTGAGTTTAATTTTTATCCCCGATATTTATTGATTATATTCCTATATGCTTGTTACGAAGTATCTTTTTTTTTTTAGAAATTTTTACTTAACTCAGTTTGAAGATGGTGAGAATTTAGAAGAATCCAGTATATTAGAAATAGATTTAAACCAATTATTAATAAATGAAAGAACTCCCATCACAACACCTCCATCTAAATGCAAGTATTTTCTCATTTATTTAACTGTTCTGTGAAGAGTTATACGCATAAACATGCTAAGAACATGTCTGACCCTGATAGTGTAAAGAGTACAGCTTCTTGAATTTTATCTGGGCCACATCCGAACCTTGTTCAGTATACTTTATCAGGCCGAGTGTAAATGGGGTTAATGAAACAGAAAAGCATTATTGTACTAATGTTATAAACTGTCTTGGTTAAGTAAATGGGTAGATTCAGTTTATGTTAATAAAGTGACAACATGGGTTGCCCTGTAAGATGAGTTAAAGTGACAAATAATGTTACCACCCTGCTGGGTTCAACCTCATTGGTTTAAATTATTATAATTCTCGATATTTTATTTGATCAATCTGATTAAAATACAGATCTATATTTTGTTTCGTTTTTTTTATACTTTCGATGGCCTACACTACATGAAGATCTGACCAGCTATAGTGGAAGGTCGTGTCAGGGGTCATACTAGTAGCTTTTGATCCTATGACGTTAGACATTTGATTAACCAATCAGCGTTGATGTTTCTACTGGGATACCCACAGTTCTGTGCACTACACGCCAAAAACTTGCCGTAACAAACCGTTTCATTTGCTAATCCCTCACATCAACCAGAATGCGGGTATATAACAACAATTCCAAATCCTAGTGTAGTAAAGACAAGTAAAACGAAATTTCAAACTATAAAAAACGAAACAAAATAGTATCTGTGTTTTAATCAGATTGTATTTTATGTGGTTTTCCAAAATTGATTTAGTGCGACCAAAGAGTGCAACACATAGAGCTATAGAAGAGAAGATATTATCGGTGGTAAAAGATGATATAAGTGATGAAGATGATGATGGAGATGATGATGAGGAGGATGATGGTGAAGATGAGATTGATGATTTAGATGATAGTATGTATTACATTTGAATTTTAATATTTCAAGAGAAACTTTTTATTATAAGACAAATCCTCTGGATCCACTGGAATCCTGTTAATATAAAGTCATTATTATAAAATTTGAGACACAATAGTGTAACAATTTGAAACCTAATACTATTTTTTTCATCTTTACGATATAAAAGTACAATAATTAATAGAATTCAAATTCAACTTTCTTCATATTAGAATTATCCTCTTGTCTGTTCACCATAATTTCTTCCTTTTTTTTTAAACAGAAATAAGAGATACCAAATCTAACAATGACTTCTATAAAAGTTTATTTTTTGAAGTGGAAGATTTTAGTGTAAGTATCTTAAAATTAAAAAAAAGAAAGTTGGATACTGTATCACAAAATGTTTAATGTAGTTCCTCTTTATTTAGAGCCGTTCTATCCCCCTGCACCACACCAAACCCTACACCGTCTATGTTAGTTTTCTTTTAGATTTTGGTCTTGAATCTAGGAAGAGGGTTTGAAATGACATTGGCCAGGTTTTGGTGAATATTCTGAATATTCATGGTGTAGTGGTGGAAGGATAACAACCATGACCATAAGTTGGTTACAGTGATATGTACATCGGATAGTTATTTACATGTTTACTAGTATGATACTTCCAATTTGTGTATCCCAAATTCCGATGGTCAAACTCATACAAACTTTGTTGCCAAGACACTGAGAGTCAGTGCTGGATTAACCATAAGGCAAATAAGGCATGTGCCTATGGGCCAGCCAAAAATCCAGGCCACAAAATAATAAAGTAAACTTTTTTTGATAATTATCAGGTGGTGACAAAAATGCTTGCCGTTATTTTTATGTAAATAAATTGCATCCTTCTTCCTCTACGCGCGTTTGTCCTTAAAAGCTTTCTATACTCTGGCAAAGGGTTGACATGATGTTTCGTCCCTTTCGTCACTTTGTTGCCAAGACACTGAGAGTGTGGTAGGGAGGTAGGAGAGTGTGGTAGAGAGTGTTAAGCCCAATGAATATTGGAAGAAAGTTAAAGAGATGGGCAAAGTGATATTGACGTGAAAGTCAGTAGACATAATTGTTGTTGTCTCCCTTCGCGTATGGCTGACTTGAAATGCAAATTTTTCCAAATGAAACTAATTTGGAATTTAAACAAATGGGATATATCTAGTACTTATTCGAACTAGTCATTTTTTTTTTTTTTTTTTTCAAATTTTGTAAATTGTTTGAAAGGAGTTGCTTTGTCAACAATTAGTCTCACTAACTAGAACGTCCAAATTTTGCTGTGGGGTTAGACAAGAAAATACCCTGGTATGTTACAGGGGCGGATCCAGGAATTTTTGCAGGAGGGGGTTTGCCAGGTTCTTGAGACAATGTATCTCTCCCTCCCCCCCCCTCCCGCATTGTCTCTATTGTCATTTTGGTGTATATACATACACATTGAGCTTTTTAAACAGAAATTCAACACCTTGTTTGACGTCAATTTTTATTATGAATTAATACAATGACATTGTGATTCAATTTCATGGATGCAAAGCATTAATTGTGATATCACATAATGCCTATATCATTATCTCGTGCTTTGAGTGCACATCCTGTCCCACATCTGATGATAAAAGATAAAGCACACAGCCAAGAAACTTTTCTCATAAAAAGTGTTGATTTACCCCCAAAAATATGTAGCTGTTACCCTTGTCAGTGGTAGAGGAAAAACATTTAGTTATTTGAATGGGAAAAAACCCCCAACAAAGTCCTGTTTATTTTATTGGTAGATCTCCAGACAGTGGTAAATTGAAATAAGAGAGGTCTGTTGTGCCACTGTCGGGGCTTAATTTCCCTCATTAGCCCAGTTGTTCAGCCATTTTGTAAGGCCCATTTATCACCATAAGTAAATAAAGAAGGAAGCTAGTTTGTAAACAGTTTGAAACTAAAGCTGATCATACCCTGGAGAGTATTACAATGAGATTACTCTGTCATAAATAACTGAACATGACCTGTTATTTTCATTTTTTTTTTTGTATGTGTTAAAATGATGTATTTTTCAGGACTATTTGCAACTTGGACCACTAGAACTAAAACTATTAAATGTTAATGGAACGCAGATGCGACTTCATCCTCAGGGACAGCCAACAGATGAAGAGTTAGCTGCCCTTGATTGTAATCCCGATAACTGGCCTGTCACTCAGCCAATGATCAAAAATGCTACCAATCAATAAGATATGAACAAACAGCAATAAATTGGGTGCATTTAAATGCATGTGGTTGTTTACAAATCATGAAAGAGAATTGATGGATCTAACATACATGTACATCATTATTAGCGGTTTCTCCTTCTACAGTTTAACCATAATGATAGAATTTAAGCTAAATGTAAACCCAAGCTTTTAAAGATCATCCATGTTTTTTTAAAAATTACATCACACTCATTGCTAAAGTTTGCCAGACAAAGGTGACAATCACTCGTGAAGTTGCATGCTATGAAAATGGTTTGAAGAAATTTACAGATATTTATACATTAAAGACAATATTGTATTTGTTTAAAGATAAACAGTATACATGTATTTGCTAAAGGGGGGGGGGTATCTGAATGGTTAGCACCTGCGCGCTGTATCATAAAGCCTGTCATTGAGTCAACTGGCGTGGTTTCGAATCCCCGGTTGTACGTGACAAGGAGTAGGGTCACCTGTCCAACCTCGTGGGTTTTCTCCTGGTCCTCCGGTTTCCTCCCACTGCTAAAGACTCCTACGCGCAAGCGAATTATTGAAATAAAAGACCATATGTTAGTCCCGAAATGACCTAGTTTGTGTCGAGTGGACGTTAAACCCCATCTCTCTCTCTCTATATTTGCTAAAGAAAAGAAAAAATTATGTGTCCCACATAATGCTGTCAGTGAGCACATATTTAGTTGCCTGTCAATCCATTTTTCTACTGAGGTAATCTATGATAAATATGTGCCAAAATGATTTTATTTATAAGAGGTTGGTTGGTTAAACATCTAGTAACTATATGATTTATGTAAGTTAATAAAAAAAAACCCAAACAATTAAATAATTCAGAAAGAAAACCTTTTCTGATCTAAAAAGGAATAATATTATAATTAACTTTAGCCATATGTGATTGACAACAATTAAAAATTCTACAGATGTTGTATATAGTTGTATATATAAAATATTGAATATTATCGGATAATGTCATGAAATACAATCCGCCATATTGAACTGCAATATAAGCTTATTTAAAATCAAAATCACTTTAAAATGTATTTGATTTCAACTGGAATTTTTTTTTTTTTTCATTGTGCAAATAAAATTTATCTGTGTGATATTTATTATTACTTATATGCTGGTATGTCTTATTTATTAAGGGGGGTTTGATGGCCGAATAGTTATCATGTGCGCTCTGTATCATATGGTCTGTCATTGAGTCAACTGGCGGGGTTTTGATTCTCCGGTTGTACGTGGCAAGGAGTAGGGTCACTTGTCCAACATCGTGGGTTTTCTCTGGGTCCTCCGGTTTCCCCCCACTGCTAAAGACCCCTACGTGCAAGCGAATTATTGAAATAAAAATGAACCATGTGTTAGTCTCGAAATGACCTAGTTTGTTTTGAGTGGACGTTAAACCCCATTTCTCTTTCTCTGTTGTTTGTTTTATGCTCTTTGTTTGTCTTGTCAATACTGGTTGTCTAGATAAAATAAACTGTGTTATGCCATTAAAAAAAACCAACAAATAAATGAAATATGGTGTAAGGTACTACTTTTCTGCACTGATCATGAGCTAATTAAGAATTGGTGTGCTATGAGGGACATTATCCCTGGCAAGCAACGCCATGGCCTACTCTTATTTTAATTTCCAACTAACCTGGTTTCTTTTAGGTGGATGCCAACGTGTACACAGGACCTCATTTTTTTGTCCCATTCGAACGACTGCATGCTGTTCCTTACAGGGCCCTCCATCCCGCCCCAATGCCGGAAAACCCTTTGGAACTTTCTCGGCAAACACCAGAAGCAAACCCAAGATCAAATAAACAAAACGAAAAGGAACAAATATTTACATATAATTTATTAACAAACAATTTAGACTATAACTTAAGCATTTTCTGCTTCAGTTTGAGTAAATTAAAACATAATGTAATTAATTCCCCCTTTATTACATGTACAGATATAGTGCTTTACATTTTAATCAAAACAATAAACACCCTTCTTAATTTGACAAATGACAAGTTACACTCTGCTACTTCAAAGGAAGACAAAATATTCATAGAAAATGTCTGTTTATTTCATGATATTCTATTTAAAAATGCAATCTCTAATCTCAGAATAGTTTGATAATAAATATTTCTGAATGTAATATTAAAATGAAATCAAATTAATTTCTATATAAGTAAAAAGTAAATGCTAAATGCAGGCAAGATGTCTTCAGTGTATGCTATGGAGTATTAATAAGACCTTACCTTCAAGACAGCCTATACAATAAGTGTAGTTTAATGGTCGAAAGCAACATTAAGTAATATATTGATTTTGCACAAGGGCGTCAGCCAGAGAGTTGTATCAATATATTACACAATACAGACACTAACCCGCATATGCATTTAAATGAAATGATTATGCTATTTCAATGTTTCATCAAGTATCATTGGTATTTTAAATAAGGGTACATCAATATCAAAATATGTGTATGCCTGAAATACTCAATTTCTTATTTTTGAAAGTAATTTTATTTTTTGTAACTAACCAACATGATCTGGACGCATTAATTAATCTAGTGACCAGAGCTAATAATAATATTGTTGCTAAATCACAAAATAATCACAATTTAAATTAATGAAACATTTATACTACCGGTATATTATATATAAAACAAAATAGTCTAGTATCATGGAAGCCTAAATACTATACATTATGGCTTGCATAGTTCTATCAACTCTAAAACATCATAGTACATCTAATTCTAATCTTTACTAAATATATTTATGTTGTCCTGCTCAATAAGATGTTCGCATATTTCTAAAACACATATGGGGAGTGACCAATCTAATTAAAATATAGATCTATATTTCGTTACGTTTTTTATACTTTCGATGGCCTACACTACAGTAAAGGCAAGTAAAAACGAAATTTTGAACTATAAAAAACGAAACGAAATTGGATCTGTGTTTTAATCAGATTGGGGAGTGACTGGGTTATGTCATGTACTTGGGTAGAAGTTGGAAAAAAACTAATTTAATACCAACAGTAGTCACAACAACCTGGTCAATGGCCCCATCTAGTTTTCAGAGCAACAGAGCAATATAAATTGATCCAGGCTATATATATTACATGTATAATGAAATAAACTAATCTGCCTAGCCTGTGAAACTTTTATTACTTTATAAGCTGGATTAACTTGGTGGCATTAGTAGATTCAATATTGATTAACATCATTCAGAAACAATATCCCTCACCTTAAAAAACAATATATCCTACCCAAAACCAAAAATAGGTTGATCATTGTATTGTTAACATGTTTTTAAGTTTCTAATATACATTTTGGGAATAAACCCCAGCTGGCAGTAATATTGAATTTATGACAATGATAAAAGTTAAGAAATCAATCAAATTAAGCCGAACCACTAAAATTCTACTTTTGATTTGCAACATATGCCGACATGGTGGGACATGGTGCGTGCTAAACAATGTCCAGTGTAAATATTGATAATTTTATTCTAGATGCAATAAACTTATAAGCTTCTATACATATATCAACAAATACATTAAAGCCAACACCTAAAGAAATTCCCAGTTATCTATAAATTGAAGTAAATAATATGATTTTGTTTTTAAGGCACATTATAATAGTACCAATCTTATAAGCCCCCCTTTCCTCCCCCCCAGTCAAATTATAGTAATTAAATTACACATTTATTGCTTCCGTTTTGCCAACACATAACACATTGAATCTACACACAAAGTCACATAGCTCGGACCCCAAGTTCACAAAGCATTATCTGACTTAAAGTAGCTAAGTCCGTAACTCAATATCATCCAAAATCTTCGACATTGAAAACACAAATTTTTTTGCTATTTAAATCAGCATTGGTGTTGTGATCTAACCTGGAAAAGATGGGCTTCTGATATCCAATATTTAAGACAAAATAATGCGTTTCAGCGCTATTTGTAACAAGGTGCTCAGAGAATGAGGCTAGACATATTCCACAAGTCATGTCAAACGGTGATATCATATAATGCGTTTCAGCGCCATTTGTAACAAGGTGCTCAGAGAATGAGGCTAGACATATTCCACAAGTCATGTCAAACGGTGATATCATATTCTTATTTTGGAGAGCATGCGCAATAAATAATATCGGTGTTGACTGGAATAACCAGACGCTAGAAATTGACTTGCGGTTGAGACTTCTGGCGTATTTCGCCGAACATAACTGGTGACAATTCACAGTAAAACGGACACGAATGAATGTGAAACAGTTTATATAAATTCATATTACATTATTATATGTGTTGCGACCCATTTGTGCCAATTTCTAGGTCCAAAATATTAGCGATTTAGCTCCTTTAAGTTAAGAATTTACTCAACTTTCAATCACTGTTTATGACATAGTTTCTTATTGATGTATTTGATACATTATAACAACGAAAGTTTTATAATGATCTATATTTTAGTTAAAATAGTGCGAACAATTTTGAGTAAATTCTTAACTTAAGTCTGAGAATGCTTTGTGAACTAAGGGCCAGTTGTTTGATTGTTTATTACAACTTCACTATATTTATTTTAAAATTTTGTCAGAGGCTCATGACCAACAAATATATTGTTGTCTTTAGTGTGTGGATGCTTTTCAAGACATTTGTTATTTTGTCCTCACCACATGATTTTTCCGTTGCGCTATTTATAAGGCTAAAACAATCTTCATTTAGTGCTTTAATCAAAGTGGATAAAGATATAAATCTATGTATCGATAATATACATAATAATAATATTATCACACATATTATACATATTATTTGGCAATGATAACAATATTAACAAATGAATAACAGTATATATAGAGTATATCTGTAGGCATTTACACTTTAAAAATTAAACACCTCTATTTTTATGTTGGTTTTTTTTTAGGCATTTTCAAATTATTTTTGTGAACCAACAATTTCACACTCGGCAAACCTCAACAGATTTCATTACTCTACATCTAGCCTCGGCTGTATGACGGTAAGTGATATGTACCTACGCCTATACAATTGCAATGCGGCACCGGTTTACTTATTAGGAAAACATGACGCTTTTAAAAAGAAGTTATCAAAATTGTGTTGTTGAAGCCTGTTTAGAATTTTCAGTGCAAAGTTGCCCTTGTTTAAAAAAAATCAGATAAACTTGAAAGAAAAACAGCTTCAGACTTTGAAATATTTGTATGATAAAACATTCTTTAAAGGCATCCTCATGGGCAACGCAGTTGGTAAACTGGGAACTTGAAAGTAGTTCCAATAGTGGACTTCGTCATACAGCCGAGGCTAGATGTAGGGTACTGGAATCTGCTGAGGTTTGCCGAGTGACAATTTCAGTTAAAATTTGAGTATTTTTGTCATATTTGACAAAAGAACCTGTGATTTAAAGAATGATGTAAACTGTATTGTTTTTATATTGGAGATAATCACTTCTTAAAAAGTCGATGTCATCCAAAGTAATTTGAATGCTTGCAGTGTAACCTTGTTATCTTAATTAACAATACATGTTCATAAAATAATAATAATAATAACAAAATATGATACTAATGAGATCTATACACCATAAAATATCAAGTGTCCAATTAACACCTACCAATGTTCATTTGGTTTCTCATTATCTTTTGTTGAAACCAAACTATGAAAATGACAATAAATCTGAGCAAGAAATATAGATTAATAATGTTTTTTGTCTTTTTAAATTCATAATATTCTAAACTCAAATCATTATTTCAAACACCTATACAGGATCAAAAGGTGACAAATTTAACACTAAATATTTTGCAGTGTTTCATACCATCTCAATTTTACAAGTATTAAATTATAATCATATTTACACTTATATTTTATATATTTGATATGAGGTACATTAATCAATTTTTATTATGCTTTAAATTATATAACTTTAAAACAAAAATACTGAAGGAATAATATGCATTCTTATAGTGGCATTTAGGAACTGGGTGGATTAATAAACTACATATTATATTAGCTTGATGACATTGAGAGAATACACTTTGAAACCTCGCCTAAATAAATCAGAAGTATGGGTTATAGTTTATGAATAACATGTAATATAATTTGTTACTTCTATTGGATTTATTATTAATAATTTAAAGGGACGGTGATGGGTATGTAACTAATTATGCAATGCAATAGACTATTATAAGCTATACTATAGAATAGTAAAATAAAGTTATAAACTGATATTAGTATATAGATAATAGGCTACATATTAAACTCTCTTAGTTTTAGATTTTATTATTTAATTCAGTAGGCTTATATTTTCATCATAAATTAAAATATAGGTTGGTGCACAAGTGGATTATAATGGTGGCAGCCTCCAACCGGAAATATTTTTGAAGAACTCCAAGAAGAAAGCTGAAAGAAAACGCCAAATCCCGGAAGAAAAGTTGATATGGCCCCTCTTAGACAGGGAAAGCCAGGTCCTGTGCAGGGTCCCCTGGATTGGAGAAAAGGGCCCCCTTGACTCCAGTTTAAGCCAGTAAGGGTTCGCTTTTTGTTTCCAATTGGAAGGCACACAAATCTTCAAACAAATTTCACCTACAAATACTTATAATTCAGCTTTCACAATTGAAGTAACCTCAATCTTTTTGTGCAAAAAACGTTTATTGCCCGGTAATCATGGTGAGTTCAGTAAAACCTTGCCAAAGAAACTTTGTGATTTGAATAAGCTTCCTATATTCCTATTAACACGTTTCACCTCTGTATACACAGTGAAAATGACAGATGCTTTACGTACAATCAATTTGTCACCCCTAGTTTTCCCTGTGGTGAATATAAATGAAATGGGGTTTGACTTTCTACTTTTCTGCACCAACCTTGATATAATGAAGATGGACATACAGTGTGCTATAACATCAATTTTTCGTCCCATCCTAATGACTCAATGCTGCTCCTTGCCCATTGACAATGGAGAAATGATGCCGGAAATTCCCAATGAATTTTATCGGCCTGTAGAAGAATAGCTAAAAACAATCCAGTGTGGGCAAATTATCCCCCACCCATTGTATGGCATATTCCCGTCTTCATTTGTCCAGTTGGTGAAGAAATGCAGGATGTTGAATCTAATTTAAATTTTTTTTTGTCAAAAAAGTGCTCTATATCTCATCTAAGACAATGTAATATTTAAATTTTTCTAGGAGAGGTCGGCCATACGCCACGTCGCTAGGGCCCTTTGGAACTACCATTCTCTTAATCTGCCCCTAGGTTGGCGACAAATTTTTTTATTTATTTTGTGAAGCATTTATCATCAAATCTTTTGACTAGGCTTTAGAATCTGTCCGCCACTCATGACACACATATAAATTCAGCATTTATCTGAATATTGAATCAGAAATACACATTTAATAGTTAATGTTATTTACTGAACCCAATCTCAGAATCAGCAAAGTTTTCCTTATCTCTGAAACAATGTTTGTTTGAATTCAATTATCTTGCATGTTCTGAATGTCATTTAGCATTGTAAAAGAAAATTTGTCACGCCATATTTCTCATTCACATTGTAGGCACAAGATGACAAATCTGTCTACATAAGAATACTTTTTACTACCAACATTTTTATGGTGAGGGCCAATCTGATTAAATTACAGATCTATATTTCATTTCGTTTTTTTTATACTTTCGATGGCCTACACTACATGAAGATCTGACTGGTTGTTGTGATAGGTCACGTCAGAGGTGATACGAGCGACTTTTGACCCTATGATGTCAGACATTTGATTAACCAATCAGCATTGATGTTACTAGTGGATTACCCACAGTTCCGTGCAAAACATGCCTAAAGCTCGCCGTAACAGACCATTTCATTGGCTAATACCTCACACCATTCAGAACACGTCAATGATATCAACTCTTCCAGATCCTAGTGTAGTAAAGACAAGTAAAACGAAATTTTGAACTATAAAAACGAAACGAAATAGGATCTGTGTTTTAATCAGATTTGATGAGGGCTAAAATAATGAAAATATCTAACATTGAAGAATAAAGAATTAGACCTATGTTTACCAATTAATTAAAGAGTCTTTTAATTTTCATAAACAGCCAACAGCAACTTACCCTCTAAAAGCTACTATAAAACAAATTTATATGTACATCAATTCCATGTATTGTACATTATTTAATAGGCCTATCCAGTGATATTTACATACTTTCTAGTTTAAAATAACATTCATTATTAACTCTAAAATTAATATCTCATACATACACTCTATCTTCATTCATCCACTTATTCCTTTCACCATAAGATTAAAAGGTAAAAACAAAAATAAAATCATTGGAGCTTTTAACTTCAATTTCACAGTTTTTTCTTTATGCTCACAATAGTCACCGATCATTCCAGTATAGATTATTTACACAGAGTTGTCACCCTTTAAACCTAATAATAAATGACATCATCACATAAGCTGGCCTACGTCGACCAAGATATGCGTATATAATGATCTATAATAAATATCCACTACATTATATTTAACACTGTTTAATCCATCCATTTTAAACCTTTTCACGGCTGTATTCAATAGTTTCGATCTGTAAGAAAAACAAGGAAGAAAATTGCATTACTGTAATTAATGGCGGTTTATTTTTTAATAAATAACGGCAACATCAATAGGATTTGCCTGGAGGCTTTAATATTTCAACTGAATATATCCGTGTTCGGTTATTAAAACCAGACACACAATCAATTTGATAAATATTTCTACTGGAAAAGAAAGACGGTGGCTCCATACTTGAAAAAAAAATAATAAATGGGTTGTCGTACAATGAAACATACCCCCACAACAGCTATGTCATCTGTGTGGTCCATAAAGATTTTTTTTTGTGTGTGTGGGTGTGTGTGTGTGTGTGTGTGTGTATGTGATGGGATCATTTACAAGACACTTAAAACAAAGGACAACAACCCATTAAATAATTATAGGAAATAATCAAAACTTGATCAGATTCTAGTTTTTCCTGGCAACTAGATGATAACTTCAGTCGATTGAGATAATTAAAATCATTGAAAATCAATAGGTTTTTCATCTCATTAACAGTGTATAAATTTCATTTAAGCAGATGATAAGACTTTGAAAGATTTATAACAAGATTTTTCAATTTTCATAGAATTCAAGGACAACAACTCTGAATGTAATTATTAGAAATCACTGAAAATATATAGTCTTCTTCCAATCATGAATATAAACGCTTTGTATAAACTTAATGGCAAATGAATGATAAAAATAAGCTCTAGATGGTGCACAAGATTGTTGAAAGTGATCAAGGCTTTACTCTGACAGTAATTATTAAAAATTGTTGGAAAACAATATGATTGTTTGTCTCATGAACATAGATATTATGTATAAATTTCAAGTCAATTGGATAATTACTTGAGCCTTTAAAGTGTCCACTTACAATGCTTGTGGACAGCATAGTGGAAACCTTTCCATACATGACTTCAAAGAGTAATTACACTTAAAATATATTGATATTTCAATATTCAAACAATTGTTTGAGAAACAAAAGAGAGAAAGCCATGATTCTACGGTACCAATTAGTTCCAGTCATGACAAAATTGCAGTATTTAATATAAAATAGAATTAATGAAAGCATGAACTAAAATAGCTTTATGCATGGTTTCTTGTGTATGAATCATACATATACAAGATATCATCAATAGAGCACTGTTGCCTAGAATGACAGACTAGACTTCTTATCAATTATATTCTATATAAACTGGTTTTATACAAATTTTAATACTGGACCAAACCCGAGATATATAATTTATCAGCTAGATAAGGAATCCTTAATTATGGGGAAATACATATTCATGAATGACAGGAAGAAGTGGGTTTAGTTGTTCGGAGGTATAAAAGACAGCCTTGGAGATTGGTTATGTTTATAAAGAATCATGTGACAGTTTTAATTAAACAAGAGTAGATAGAAATACTGCTGTTTTCAGTGAAAAACATCATCACACATTAGGCCATATAAAAAAAAAATATTTTGGTCCTCAGACAATCCTTCCAAAAAATCTGATGTGGGAGGGAGGTTTTTTTTTTGTATTTTTATTTTGTCATCACATTTGTGTATAAAAAGTTTGCTTCAAATCACTCTCAAAAAATTTTAATCTCAAGAAAATACTACTACCCCTGCCACAAGAATCTTTTTTTTTTTAGCCTTGTTGATTTAGGGAGAATCCCATTGAGTTTGTATTTGTCATTACTCACTGTCTATTTACCATCAATATAAAAACCTAAATTAATTGTTGGATTATTCTGTCATTTAATTGCAGTGTCTACTGGACATAATTTAATTCTCTCAAAGTTGTCAGAACCGTTAGTCATTAGATTAACACATAAGAAACACTCCTTACGTCACACAAGGTATACTATTACTTTTTATCTTGTTTGCGCTTGTTTTATCTTGTTTTTCAGGGAATCCAGTATTTTTCTAGTAATACTGGATGTCTCTACTTTGAACTACTTTCTATATAAATGTATACCAAAATTGCCATAATTTTATTGGAAATAACTACCCGAATGTATCTTTAAAGTATAAAAGCTAAAAGAAAGTGGGATGTAATTTGATATATATAGCTAGGTAATCATAGAATCTCAGACAGAAATGTGGTATAAACACAGAAATAGACTCACCTTGTAACCCATGCAGTAGGTTTCCTCTTCGTATGTTTAATCATTTTATATCTAGCAATATTTGTAGGAGGACGAGTAATCTTTAAACCCGTATGTAATATTCTGAAATAACAAAAGATAGGTTGCCAGGCAACGAAACATATGCCCACAGCAGCTAAATCGTCCGGGCAGTCAACAAGTATTGTCGCATATTTTTACTTTTTTTGGTAATGAAACATTTATAATACACTAAAATCTGATTAAGAGTAACAACTCATTAAATAATTATCAATCTGAAGTCAATCGGATGATAACTTTAGCCTCTAGAATGTCACAAGATTTTTCGGAAATTATCGGAAATCGTTGAAAATCGATAGGCTTCTTCGTCTCATGACCTTAAACACTGTGTATAAATTTAAAGTCAATCGGATATTAACTTTGACCTCTAGAGCGTCCACAAGATTTTTTGAAGTGATCAAGGGCCATAACTCTGGCAGTAATTATCGGAAATCGCTGAAAATCAATAGGATTCTTCGTCTTATGACCTTAAACACTGTGTATAAATTTAAAGTCAATCTGATATTAACTTTGACCTCTAGAGCGTCCACAAGATTTTTTTGGAGTGATCAAGGGCCATAACTCTGGCAGTAATTATCGGAAATCGCTGAAAATTAATAGGATTCCTCATCTCATGACTTTAAACACTGTGTATAAATTTAAAGTCAATCGGATATTAACTTTGATTTCTAAAGCGTCCGCAAGATTTTTTGAAGTGATCAAGAGCCATAACTCTGGCAGTAATTATCGGAAATCATTGAAAATCGATAGGCTTCTTTGTCTCATGACCTTAAACACTGTGTATAAATTTAAAGTCAATCGGATATTAACTTTGACCTCTAGAGCGTCCACAAGATTTTTTGAAGTGATCAAGGGCCATAACTCTGGCAGTAATTATCGGAAATCGCTGAAAATCAATAGGCTTCTTCATCTCATGACCTTAAACACTGTGTATAAATTTAAAGTCAATTGGATTTTGACTTTAACCTCTAGAGCGTCCACAAGCAATTGTGGACGCCGGACCGACGAACGGACGGACAGGGCGACGACAATATTGAAATGTGGTCGTATAAAAACACCACAGATAATTTTTATTTTATTTCCATATATCCAACACAACATACACTCGGTCCAGGGTTCTTAATCCATTTGAAGTAATATTCCTGAATAAATCGTAGTCTTCGTTTACTCTATGAAACGTTCGTGCTTCATCATTCGATCTAAAATATTAGCATTTTTCTAGGATTGCCAGTACCAGAAAAGATTGTAGCCAAAATAAGCTGATACGGCACCATGACATTTCTTCATAACACAATCTGTCTATCCAAACTGTCCAAAAAGTTGATGATAAATTTAGCATCTAGAACTCCCACAAAAATTTTCAGAGTGATCAAGAACGATTAATTTGTAAATAATTATTTAAAATCATTAAGGGGCATTGTATAAGATTTAGATAAAGAGCTGACAGTACTTGTTATAATAGTTAAAAAATAGATAATGAAAATTTCAATCAAATTACTTCATTCTAAGCCAAGTAATCAGCGTAATCTCAATTGTCATTTCTACTGATAACAAACAAAGTCTCGATTATATGTTTTTGAATCAAATCATTTTGACAGTTTTCACTGTCAATTCCATTTGAATCTGTTGAAAATTTTTAGTATCCAATGGCATCGAGAATTAATTACGGTCTTGATAAGGTAATAAATGTCTAATTAATAATTTATGTAACATTTAATTAAGGCATAAAGAAAGAGAGAGAGAGAAATGGGGTTTAACGTCCACTCGACACAAACTAGGTCATTTCGGGACTAACATATGGTTTAATTTTATTTACATAATTCGCTTGCACGTAGTGGTCTTTAGCAGTGGAAGGAAACCGGAGGACCCGGAGAAAACCCATTTCGGGACTAACATATGGTTTAATTTTATTTACATAATTCGCTTGCACGTAGTGGAAGGAAACCGGAGGACCCGGAGAAAACCCACGAGGTTGGACAGGCGACCCTACTCCTTGCCACGTACAACCGGGGATTCGAAACCACGCCAGTCGACTCAAAGACACACTTAATGATACAGCACGCGCACGCTAACCATTCAGCCATCCAACCCCCCTAAGGCATAAAGAAAGACCTGCAATAGGAAGATTTAGCTATTGAATAATGTCCCTTTAAAGACAGTTAGTCTTGTTTGTCTCAAGAAAACACGGTGTATCAATTTGAAGCCAGTAAGATGATAACTGTAGAAACTAAAGCATCCACAAAAGTAATTAAAGGGGAAAAAATCGATAAGATTCTTTGTATCACTAGTGTAAACAATGAATACAAATTTCAAGAATATCAGATTTTAACCGACTACGCAAGAGTTAGACATTTCGGAACATAAAAATATTGTTTTTGTTCCTTTATGTCCCATATTACCAATTGTATGCTCGGTAGCCTGGAGTTTGGGTGTTCGATCCCTGCATTGGCTGAGAAAGTTCATCCAGATTTTCCGGCGTGGTTCGGCCTTGTCAGTGATGCAGGACGGAGGGCCTGACAAGAACAGCTGTCTAGTTGTTTGGATGGCATGAAAAACCGAGATCCCGTGTACACATTGGCGTGCACATAAAAAATCCCTTGACAGTTGGAATTCGATATAAGAGTAGACCGTAGTGCCGCTGTCCGGGCAAAATTTCCCTCACAGCACACTGTAAGGTGTATGCCCGTCTTTATTAGCCCAGTATAGGAGCAGAACAGTAGAATGTTAAACCCCATTTCATTTTAATTAAATAAAGGGGTGTTCTATTTCTAAAAATAAAATTCATGGGAGTGATGACTTTACATTGTTTACAATACAAACATTTTAAGTCATTATAAGTCATTAATTCAAATCCCTTTTGAACATTTGATTCTACCAAAATTATAAATTTTGGGAGTTTTTAATGCAATTTCTGAAGTCAATATTTTACTTTCTCTTATCTGTTTAAAACATGAATAGATTAGCAGATACTGTATATAAGAATAGTTTGGGATCTATAAAGATGAATGAAAAAACTGAAGGAGACTGTATCATGCAGGCTATTGGATTAGTAATCGTTTCCGCCGAGAAGAATGTTAAATGAATGAGAATGTTAAAGATGAATGAAATAATTGAAGGAGACCAGGTTAAAAATCTACTGTCTGTCTTGCAAAGTTCCTATTGAAAAACCTGACCACAATATAATTCATTTCTCTCTTTAAATTCCCAACAGGGATAAAAATTTTGAATGTAAAATTGTAGGAAAGGAAACATAAAGCAGGTATAAGCTCTCACAGGCTTTCAAGAAAGTGTATGTCATTAGTCGAATACTTTTCTTCACAAGTGGTGGACATTTCTCTCTCTCGCTCTCCATTAATGTCCACCACTTGTGAAGAAAAGTATTCGACTAATGACATACACTTTCTTGAAAGCCTGTGAGAGCTTATACCTGCTTTATGTTTCCTTTCCTACAATTTTACATTCAAAATTTTTATCCCTGTTGGGAATTTAAAGAGAGAAATGAATTATATTGTGGTCAGGTTTTTCAATAGGAACTTTGCAAGACAGACAGTAGATTTTTAACCTGGTCTCCTTCAATTATTTCATTCATCTTTAACATTCTCATTCATTTAACATTCTTCTCGGCGGAAACGATTACTAATCCAATAGCCTGCATGATACAGTCTCCTTCAGTTTTTTCATTCATCTTTATAGATCCCAAACTATTCTTATATACAGTATCTGCTAATCTATTCATGTTTTAAACAGATAAGAGAAAGTAAAATATTGACTTCAGAAATTGCATTAAAAACTCCCAAAATTTATAATTTTGGTAGAATCAAATGTTCAAAAGGGATTTGAATTAATGACTTATAATGACTTAAAATGTTTGTATTGTAAACAATGTAAACTCGACACAAACTAGGTCATTTCGGGACTAACATATGGTTTAATTTTATTTCAATAATTTGCTTGTGCGTAGGGGTCTTTAGCAGCGGGAGGAAACCGGAGGACCCCCGAACGAAAACCCACGAGGTTGGACAGGCGACCCTACTCCTTGTCACGTACAACCGGGGAATCGAAACCACGCCAGTTGACTCAATGACAGGCCTTATGATACAGCGCGCACATGCTAACCAATCGGCCATCCATCCCCCCACACTGATCTGACCTGCGACAAATTGAATTCTAAAACATTTTTTTTATGTATTGGAAAAATAAATAAAGGCGTTTGACGTATTTAGTGTAAATGGGTATTAAAATGACTAAAATGCAGCATTTTCTCCGAAGCAGTAACGTCTTATGTAAACAATGCACGCGCCATTCAGCCAATGATTGACGTTGCGTGCTGTGACAGCAGGTGTTAAGGCAGTCATCTTTGACAGAGATTTATCACTAGACTCGTAATTCTCTGTGAAACAGATTGCCATCCCCCCTCGACATTAATGGTGATAATCATCTTGAGATATGTAGTTAAACCCATGACATAATTACCCCAGTCAAGGAACCAATGGGTGACATGAAGTCAAAGGAAGAGAGAGAAATGGGTTTAACATCCACTCGACACAAACTAGGTCATATCGAGACTAACATATGGTTCAATTTTATTTCAACAATTTGTTTGAGCGTGGGAGGAAACCGGAGGACCCGGAGAAAACCCACACGGTTGGACAGGAATTCGATATAAGAGTAGGCTGTAGTGCCTTTGTCCGGGCAAAATTTCCCTCATAGCATACTGTATGGCATATGCCTGTCTTCATTTGCCCGGTAGGAGCAGAACAGTAAGACGTTAAACCCCATTTCAATTCATTTCATTTATTACACTAAAACGACTTAATTTATTATCAGACAATAAAACACATGTTTGGTTGTTCTTTTGAAATTTGTCATTGCTGCGAAAAAAAATGGTAGTGGTACAGACCAACAAATCATCATAGATTGATAAAGACATTTATAACACATGTGATCTTTGCTCAACATCGAAAGACATTGAAGGTACGCTGACAGAAATAAGTATCCCGTCTGCTACATTTTTCTCATCAGATGGAGGTGACGGTTGGCCACCA